GTTCAGCATGGGGGTGAGTAGAAAATGAAGGCTAATCATGTTTTGGGTGTACTATTCCTTTAACCCTGTGGTTTCGTCGTACAGTTTGAGCTGTAGCTGAGTACAAGTGAAAATACCGTACAGTGTATGTGATGCATAAACAGATTAATGACGCAGTGACTTTACAGTAAAAAACTCAACATTTTTCTCTGCACTTTCCTTCCTCCTTGCAGCTTTTCATGGTCGACAATGGCGCGGACGATTGGAGGATAGCCATGACGTATGAACGAATCTTCTTCATCGTGCTGGAGCTTCTGGTGTGTGCCATTCACCCTATCCCAGGCCAGTACGTCTTCACTTGGACGGCGCGGCTGGCCTTCACCTACACGCCGTCCGTGGCCGACGCCGACGTGGACATCATTCTCTCCATTCCCATGTTCCTGAGACTCTACCTGATCGGCAGGGTCATGTTACTCCACAGCAAGCTGTTCACGGATGCTTCATCCCGCAGTATCGGCGCCCTCAACAAAATCAACTTCAACACCCGCTTTGTCATGAAAACCCTCATGACCATCTGTCCGGGAACGGTGTTGCTGGTGTTCAGTATATCCTCCTGGATCATTGCTGCATGGACTGTGCGTGTCTGTGAGAGGTAAACACAGGGCTGTGAATAATACATGTTCCTCGGCTCAGGCCAGGACACAAAATGGGTTATAGGCATTTTGTTTTTTTTATTTGTGGATTACTTTTCCTTCCAAGGTTCTTATTCAGCGTTGTCTCGCTTGCATCGCTCACCTGCAGCGGTCCACAGAAATGTGTGAAATCCTCAGCGCAGGTCAAATGGAAACAAAGCTTACATGTTTGCAGGAAGGCATTCAGTGATTCGCCCACATAGGACAGCACTGCTGAAGTGTTTAAAAACACCCTGACATCTGTCTCATTAGCTCAGCACTCGCTCCATAACTTCCCACTCCTTGTTTTAGTTGAATATTGCTATTTTAGATGGCTTGTCCATAATTCATGAGGGGCTAATTGTTTGTTTGCTGAGTGGTTTGTTTTGGTAAAGCAGAGCAGCCCCATGGAACCCCGTCCCCCCCCTCCTCCCGAAAGCTGAGCATCTTGGTCCGTCTCTGGGGTATGGGGGGTGGGGGGTGGGGGGGAGGTAATTTGAGGGGCACAAAGAATCTCACAAGAAAAGATTTGCATTTGAAAATGAGACACTAAAGTCAGCTTTGAGTGTTTTTTGCGACTTTAGTTTGGTGATGTTAAGGCGATCTAATGCACCAAATAATCCCCTTCTGGTACATGTGTGTATTACATCACAGACACGCTGGGAATTTGGCAAGCTCCCGACCACAGATGCTTAGTTTTCTCTAGGGATGCACGATATAATCGGCCCCCTATCGGTATC